CCTGCTTCCTAAGCCATGTGGCAACATGGAGCACCCCCAAGTTACATGGTCCCAGACATCCTGCATAGCTGCAGTGCCTGTGTTTTTTAATCCAACCACCAATCTTTCTCTGCAGCCCCATTTCTGACTCCTCCAATCAGCGACACTTGCCAGCATTCCCATATTTTTCCAGTTTTTCTGGGCTGCCATAGTAAGTCCAGGCAGGCATGGCTTTGTACTGGAAAGCCAGTCATCTCCAAGTTCTCATGCAGGTGCTGTAACCAGGGGGAGTTGCCTCCCAGTTACATCCTGGGTGGATGTCACTCCCATCCCCCTGGCTCAAGGAATGGCCATAATTATTTAACATACCCATGAAATCAGTTAAAATGTATAGATATGTTAAATGACCATGCCCATGATTATTTGCTAAACAACTCTCAATGGTTCTGCTCCATGTGTCCCATCCCCCAGTTCAGACCTATGGGAGTGAGACAGCCCATTATTTTTAATGTTTCCTGGACACCCTGAGTTCTGAACCCCATTACAAATCCTTCTTTGGAGGGCCCCTGGCTGCACTCTGTTACAAATAGAGGCCATGGTCCTTCTGCTGAGCCCTCCCCCCACAGAGCCAGTAGGTAGGTTAGTGCCTTAGTGCCATATCTGAGACTCCATCAATGTTGGGAACTGCCCTGCCTAGTTTCAGGAACCATAATCCCCGCATGGCTAAGGCTGAGTGAGCGACTTCAGACCACAAGCCACTAAGGAGACAAAGTTTATCTCCCTGGCAGGAGCACCGCTTCTGCTCTTTTTCATAACTGGCCCCCAGTGCTTGATCAGTTAGCCAATGACGGGTAAGATTCCCCAAGGGGGGAATGACCTAAGACAGGCATGATCACATGGAGGCCCCAGGGAAGAAATTGGGGGGCTATGGAGAAAGAGGGTGATAGACCCTCACCCCTCAGCTTTGAAGAAGCCTGAGTCCTTATTCTGTTTGCAAGAAGTCTCTGAAAATTCCTTGGCTATCTGCCTCCTCTGCCGGACTTAAGCCTGAAACAATGACAGAGGGCGGTGCAGCCCTGGGCTGGAAAGAGCAGGCTCCCCAGGTGAGCAGGCCTGAGAAAGGATGTGTAAAATCCTGTGAAGTCTGCTTTGCTAAGAATGTTCTTAGTTAAATGATAAAGGTCCAAGCAGGAAATGAGTTTGTTTCCCAAAGTTTTTTAGCCTTTTAGCTGATAGACCCTGACTCAGAAGAAGCCCTAATAGTTCCTTCTATGCTATCTACTATTCGATCCTTACTTCCTGACAATGATTAATGAGCTGTACCTGTATTCCTGCCCAAATTAAACCCAATAAAAGCCTGTCTAGGCAAGGGTCAGCATGCTCTTCCCTTGAGCGTGCTCAGGGTGGCCAAGCTGCCCTGAGGCACTCCGCCCTTGATGGAGTAGCTGTGCGGTCTCTTTTCCTCCACAGGACTCGGTAGTCCCTGTGAATTTGTCTCATGTCTCATCCATGATGCTGTGGGCACTGCGAGCTGGTGCCTGAGTCACATCAACCAGGCTAACACTGTGTGACCCACCTCGGAGGTCCACAGAGGCTCTACCCCACCCAACTTACCAGCCCACCCAAGATACTTTTCAAAAAAAATGGCTGGTCTTGGCTCCTAAATCCTATGAAACAAGCAACAGCTGGCTTCAGTGATCCCCAGTGGCAGCCAGATTAGACTCACAGCTTGGCTTCACCTGGGAATCTCCATACTCAGCACAAGTAGCAGCCATCTCAGATTGCTTTCCAGCTCAGGCAGGATGTCCCCCAGCAAAACACAGGTTGGGGCTGACCTTGGCCTGCACCACTGGGGACACCCCAGGGCCATTGCACCCAGTGGACAGCTACAGACCACATCACCACCACTGTGCCCCTGCACAGCTGATCCTCTGAGGATGGTGGAGGTGAGTGGTCAGTGGTCACAGCCAGTCCTTGCAGTTGACTGGCCTGGGTAAATCCCTCCCATTAATCTGCCAACAGCAACCAAGTTTCAACTACAAAAGGGGGGTGTATTCAGCCAACATGAAGGGCACACCTCAAATACCCTGCTTGGGTGATAGGGGAGGCTGTGCCACTGGACCCTACACGACACATACTACATTAGGCCACACTGCAACATACGGAGTCAAAGCAGCTCTACCTAATACATAGAAACAAACGCAGGGAGGCTGCCAAAACAAGGAGACAAAGAAACAGGGCCCAAATGAAAGAACAGATCTAAACTCCAGAAAAAGAGCTAAATGAAATAGAAATAAATAATCTATCAGATGCAGAATTCAAATCACTGTTTATAGGATGCTCAAGGAATTCAGCGAGAACCTCAACAGCATAAAAAAGATCCAGTCAGACCTGAAGGACACAGTAATTGAAGTAAAGAACAATTTATAGGGAAACAACAGTAGAATGTATGAAGCTAAGAATCAGATCAATGATTTGGAACATAAGAAACCAAAAAACAACCACATAAAACAAGAAGAAAAAAGAATCCAAAAAAGTAGCCTCTGGGACAAGTTTAAGAGACCCAACATTCACATCATAGCAGTGCCAGAAGCAGAAGAGAAGGAGCAAGAAATTGGGAATCTGTCTGAAAAAATAGTGAAAGAAAAATCCCCCAAGTTGGTAAAGGAAATAGACATGCGAGTCCAGAAAGTTTCAGTTATGTTGAATGCAAAAAGGCTCACTCCAAGACATATAATTAAAAGGCCAAAGGTTAAAGATAAATAGAGACTCTTAAAAGTAGGAAGAGAAAAGAAGTTAGTTACCAGATGATTGCCAGATGGGAGGAGGAAGGGAGAGAAGGGTTACAAAGTACAATAGAGGACATGGAGTGGTTAAAAAACTTATACACATGACCCATGGACATGAAGAATAGTGGGGGGATTGCCTGAGGAAGGAGGGGATGCTGGGGGGAGTAGGGTAAAGGGAGAAATCAGGACAACTCTAATAGCATAATCAATAAAGTATAACTTAAAAAAAATTTAAAGAATGTGTTCGTTTCGGAGAAGGAGGAAAGATGATGGAGATAATTTTTTAAATGTCAAGCTGGAACTGCTAGTGGGACACCCAAGCAATTGCATCTGGTAAATATGTAGTTTATGTGACTCTGGAAGTCAGGAGATCTGGAATGAAGATGTAAATTTAGAAACTGTCACCTTATTTCAATAGCTGGGGGGACAATTAGCTCACTTGGCAAGCACGAGAAGGTAAGCTAGGATCCAGGCCTGGAAGCAGGAGGAAGGAACAGAAATGAGAGTTCAACTCCCTGGCAGCAACATTGCACTTAAGCTCATATTTCCTCCTGAAGTCTTCCTTTGAAGCCACTGTGTATCAGCTCTAGCACAGCCTCTATTGCTTTCCTTTCTCTGCTGCTTCCCCATCACAGTGTTGCCAGGCTCTTCACCATTTGTTCACTCAGCTCACCAGACATCCTGCCTATGCTCTGCCTTCCTCTAACTGTTCATTCGTACAGCCATTTACTGAGCTGCTTCCCGGGGCCAGGGACTGGACTTGGTCCTGACCAAGTGACCAAAACAGTGACCAAAACAAAGTCCCTCCCTGAAAACATTTACTTTCCAGTGAAGAAAACAGATACACAGAAATAATTAAATAGACATGTTGGGGAGAGATAAATGCTTTGAAGAAGAAATAAGCAGAGTAAGAAGATAGAGTGATGCAGGTGTTTTTAAGTAGGACAGTAGAGAAAGTCATCCCTGGAGAAGACGTTTGAGCAGAGATCTGAATGAATTGTGAAAGCTCTGGGTAAAGAAGGAGTGGCTGAAACAAAATGGGAAAGTAGGGTAACCAGGGGCTAAATCATGCATACCTTTATAAGACAAACTAAGGAGTCTGGTTTTTCACTCTGTGGTGACATGGGATTATTGGGTAGAGGAGGGATATAATCTGACTTAGATTTTCACAATATCCTTCTGGCCGCTATGTTGAGAATAAACTACTGGGGGCAAGGGCAGAAGCTGAGGGACCTTTTAGGCCATTACAATAATCCTGACCAAAATAATGGTAGCATGTTACAAAGTAGTAGGGGTGGAGATGGCCGAGAAGTGGTTAGATTCAGGTGAGCAGTTCAAAGCAAAACTCCATTAGACAAGGATGAACATTCCGGATGGTGGGAGCTTCTCATCTGCTGAGTGTGGTGGTTTCTCATTTGCTAGGCTGTTACTGAACAAGGAGAAAAACCTTCTTTCCTCTTGCTGGGGTAGTAAAATAAACTTCATGCCCAAATTTGTAAGGTAAACCGTGACAGGTGGTACCTTCCAGAAATTTCCCGTTCAGGGCTTCCCCACTCCACTTTTAATTAGGTTTTCCTTTAATCATCTTCACACCTCAATGGAGAAAGGTTAGGTATAGGGAGGAAATCAGGATTAGGGCTTTGGACACACAAAGTTGCCAATTAAACATCCAATTAGAGTTTGAGTCTATTGTTTATATAAATCCAGAATTCACAGAGTAAATACTCGGGACTGGTATGTGCATAATGCCTTTGAAACTGTGGGCCTGAATGTGACCATTTGAAATTGTTGGAGAGTCCCTGCTTCAATAACCCGGGGCGGGGGACCAGACGGGAGCTCGTTGGCCTGTGGTTGCTGTAATGCAGCCATGAACCTCTGTAAAGTGCACAGTTGCCTCAACGGGTAAAGGACCGAGTCTTACACGAAATTGTCAGTTTAGAGGCAGGCCGGGCAGAGGGATCAGCATTTGCAAAGACATGGGACTCAGGACAAAACACAACGGGTATGGAAATGGTGAAGGCCACAGCTGAGGTCAACAGGGCCGCGCGCACCCACAGTGTCCAGAGGCCACTATACACTTGGCGTCTCCTCAAACTCTAAGCCGACCTAAGCAGGTTCCCGCTAGACCAGGTCAAGCGATGCGGCGTAAACAAACCAGTCGGTGAAGACAGGAGCTACCAGCTGCTGGTCGAGTCTCGCGAGAGCGCGGCCTCCCTGGCCCAGCATACCCCGCGCCGTCACCGCTGCTGCGGCTGCCGCCGCCACCGCCGCCGCGACGCGGCTTGAGGGCGGAAGGCTGGGGGAGGGTAGCGGAGCCGGCGCCGCCGCCATGTTGGGTCTGAGGCGGCTGCTGTAGGCACTGACGGAGCAAGCGGGCGTGCGGAGCCGGGGCCGTGGCGTGGGTTCTGCCTGTCTGCGAGCAGCCCAGAGCGGCGGCGCCGGCGCCATGAGTGGGGGCACCCCTTATATCGGCAGCAAGATCAGCCTTATCTCCAAGGCGGAGATCCGCTACGAGGGCATCCTCTACACCATCGACACGGAGAACTCCACTGTAGCCCTCGCCAAAGGTACTCCGGGGTGTGATGTCGGTCTGTGCGCTCCGCTCTCGGCTTGCGGCCTCCTCGCGCCCTCCCAGTCCCCTCCGTCTCCTCTGGGAGGCCGCTCCTTTCCCTCCCTCCCGGCCCAAGCTTGCGGGCCGGGCCGCGGCCTCCCCCAGAGCTCTTCCTGGCTTCCACTGCCGCGGTCCGCGCCTTCCATCCGGGAACTACACTGCCGAGAGCTGGGCGGGCGGGGCGACCCTGAAGTCCCAGAACGGGCCGGAGAACGCGGAGAGACGTGTCTTCCAACTCTGAAATTCGGTGGTCTGTCGTCTCACCACAAAACAAAGCCTGAGTAGTCAAAGAATTTTTCCGCTTCGCTTGAGTTTAATGCCGATTTCTTGATTCTACAGCTCCATTTTCTCACGCTCTTGATTTCAAATTGTGATATTCCTCAGGTGAACTGGAAGTAATGTGCTAAAACTTTGGGTTTGCTCTGCGGTGCAGATTACATCTCCCTTGTCTCCTATGTGGTATTTACCTGTTAAAGCCGAATCTTTCTTTTAAAAAATGCTTGCTGCACTCGCGTCAACCTTGCTTGTTTCTGGAAACCCGGTGGGGAGGAGGGGTCAGGCTTGAACCAGGACCCTCGTTCCAAAGGCAGCACTGACTGGCCCTTGTGAAGGCTCCCTGGGACAGGGAGTTCTGGGTGTTGAGAAGGAAGGTGTCGTACTCTAGTGTTTAGCGTCGCCACAGCCTGTGTGTAGGTTTCGTTTCCTTCCCGCACGCCCTGGGCCTTCCTTCCGCCAGGAAACCAAGCGTAAATAAACTTTTTAGGTCCTGCTCTTGAAAAATCTCCCAAGTTTGGCTTACTTATGAAAAGGAAGCACGCTAACTAAGGTAATTTTCCCAGCATATCTGGTAGATTTATGGAATAATTACCTTGATGGGGACAGAGGACCAGAGCGAGGAAGGAATTTTCTAATTCTGTTTAAAAAATTAATCTTTAACTGGTAAGAGAGTCATTTCACAGTGTAAAACAAGTATTTAATGACATTTTGGGAGTGCGCTGGTAAATCTTTTTCAATAGCCCTTCTGTTGGGACAAATTTTGACTTTTCTTTTTTTCCCAGATGGATGTTTAGCCATATAGTGTTTTAGTTTTAATAACTTTATGAAATTATGAAAAAGGTTCTCTGAAGTTCTTGGGGAGAGTCACATACAGATTGAAAACACTTTTCCTTAGTAAAGTGGCTTAATAATTTTTTTTAAACCACTTTTTAACCTAACCTGAATTTTAAGGTATCTTGTTAGTTTAGTGACTTGTCAGATAGTTGCTGTCACCTTCTCTGAAAGAAAAAACCCTATACATTTTAAAGATTTCTAATGTATTAACTCCAGTCTATTAACAATCTAGGAATATACTCTTCTATGCAAGAATCTAAAGCGTCTATATCTTGTTAATGGCCCACTTTTTAAAAAAATTGTCTTTTAAACAGCTTCTAGAGTTGATAAACATTTTTAATCTGTAATAGTTAAATTCATATGCCAAACATAATTTTTACCTTGTGTCATGACTTAGTAAATATGTGATATAAGGACAGCAATAAAATATTTTTTATCATTTAATTTATATGGCTTTAATATTTAATCACATACGTAACATACACTTTTTAAAAATTATTGTGAGTTATTTAATGTGTTTGGGGATTTGTGTTTGCAAAAAATTAAAGTTATCAAATCTTGTCATATGTATTCTACTTAGCAGTGTCTAATCTAAAATTGCTTTAAAGCCCTGGCTGGTATAGCTCAGTGGATTGAGCGCGGCCCTGTGAACCAGACAATCGCGGTTCGATTCCCAGTCAGGGCACATGCCTGGGTTGCAGGCAGGTCCCCTGCAGGCCAGTTCCCTGCAGGGGATGCACTAGAGGCAACCATACATTGATGTTTCTCCCCCCCCTCTCCTTCCCCTCTAAAGATAAATAAATAAAAGATTTAAAAGAAAAAGATTTTAGAATTTGCATGACTTCTTGAGTAATTTGATTATCGAAATTCCCCCTTTATTTGGATGAAGAATGACATTCTAATACTAAAGCTCAAAGTTTATTCATATAATTTAGAATACAGTATGTATTTAGATTTAGAGGTCCTGATTAGTTTCTTCAACTATAGCTCAAGTTGATCTCCTTAAGTAACATTCTTAGAATTCTCTTTAGGATGTTATTATTTTTTTAAGAATCCTCTCTGAGGAGAGTATTTTCCTTTTTTTATTGCAAAATATAACCACAGGTATTGAAAAGATACATAGCCCTGGCCAGGTGGCTCAGTTGATCATCATTCCCTACGCCTAAAGGTTGTGGGGTATGGGTTGGATCTCTGGTAAGGGCACATACCTAGGTTGTGGGTTTATGCCCCATTTGGGACTAATGGGAGGCAACCAGTTGTTTGTTTCTCCTTCTCCCTCCCCTTCCCCCCTCTCTACCCCTCCCTTCCTCCCTACCCTTTCCATGCTCTTTAAAAAAAATCAGTTAAAACATATCCTCAGGTAAGGATTAAAAAAAGGAGAAGAAACACAGGTAAAAGTGAAATATTTTAAAACAAAGATCCTTCTAAATACCACCCAGGTCAAAACAAACATTGCCAGAATCCCAGAAGCCTCTGACCCCCTGCATTTTCCCATCATGACTACTACCCTTTTAGGCTAGATGTAAACATCATTCTGACATTTATAGTTTTATCACTGAAGTTTACATCAGTAAATAATAGAGTTTAGTTTTGTCTACTTTTTAACTTTATATCAATGGAATCATCTTGTATATAAAAGGGTGGGCTAAAGTAGGTTTACAGTTATTCATATGGAAAATATATAACATAAGAATAAATAATACAAGAATAAACTCGTATTTCACATACAACTGTAAACTACTTTTTCTCACCTCTGTATTTCATTTTGGATTTCATCGTAGCATAGTATTCCATCATAAATATAACAAAGGTATTTATTCTGCAGTGGTTTTGGATATTCTGCATTCGATGTTTAAATTGCTTATATGTTTTGGCTGTTATGAACAGTGCCTTTATGAACATTGTGTTAAGTGCACTGGTGTACATTTATGTAAATTTTTGAGGGTATATTTGAATTGCAGGAACATGAAGAATGTGTATCTTTATTAGGTAATGTCAACTACTTTTCCAAAGTAGTTGTTTACTAGTTTTTGTTTCGGTTATTAGTACATGAGAATTCTAATTGTTCCACATCCCTCACCCATAATAATGCTTAGTATCAGATATTTTAATTTTAGTCAATCTGGTGGGCAGGTAGATGCACCTGGTTTTATTATCCCTTATTACTAATGAGGTGCACATCTTCTCATATCTTGGTCATTTGGATTTCATTTTTCATGAAATGCCTTTGAAATCTTTTGCCCATTTTCCTGTTGAAATGCATGTCTTTCTAGAGTTTGATCTTCTCACTATGAATATTTTGCTGGATTTAGCTGTTTCAAATAAATTTTCTCATTTAATGGTTTCTTTGGGTGAACAGAGAAGTTCATTTTGATGCAAAGGTGTTTATCACTCTTTATCTTTATGGCTAGTGTTTCTTTTCTTGTCTTTTTTTTTAAGGAATTTTTTTCTACCCCAAGATCATGGAGTTATTTTGATGGTCTTTTCAAAACTTTTTTTTTTTTGCTTTGTCTTCACATTTAGATCTATAATGCATCTGAAATTGATTTTGTGTATCGTGTGAGGTATTAAAATCTTTAAATTTAGTAAGGGATTTACTTGGTTTATATGGTCCAGATGAAAATTTAGATCCTTTACTTGGATATTACTTATAATTTAAATTCACCTGGAGCTGTCAAATACTCTTGAAATTTTGGGCTAGTCATATTTGTGATGCATAATTAAGGTGACCGTTGTGGCCTTGTTTGCCCTGGTAGAAAAAGTCCTTGGTTGTGCCTATGATCTGGCATAATTATTAGAACATCCCTTTTCTCTCTTGAAAGTATTTTAGCTTGGGTAATAAATTGCATGATCAAAAACCCTATCCCAAAGTTATTGCTAAATGGGTGATGCCCTTTATTTTCTGCTAGAAATTTTACAGATTAGCTCTTAATTCTGTTAAAGTGAAATCGAGGTAAGTTTGATAGGCTTTGGAGCTTAGAATCTTCTAAATGACTGTCAAGAAGTCTTTCAAGCAATCTCGAAAGACTTTGATGTGAGTCTGAATTGTACTTTGTTGTCACATTTCTGAGTTTCTTTTATTCCTAGATCATGACCTAAACATAATCTTCTTTGCTTATTTGCCTGCCTTTATTTTCTGTCTTTGCCTTCCCTCCCACATAGAGTGAGCTCCTGGGATAAACAAATGTTTATTTAATGAATTTGTAAAGGGAAATTATTTAGCATTTTAGTTTATTAATCTTGTAGAATTTTCTTGGGCATATCTCCAAATAATGCTTTTTTATATTCACAATTGTATTTCTCTTTAAAATTAAAATACCTAACATGTTTCTCCCTTCCCCCCAAAAAAGTAAGCAGTTTTGGAGAATTGGGATATAAGAGAGTAAAATCTTACAACAAAATTGATATTGTTGGGGAGACAGTTTTATTTTATGGCTCAAGCTCAATTGTAATTTTCAAGAATCAGTTCAGGATATTTAAGAGAAAGCTAAAGTTGTGACATGCATGAATAGTTTGTAGAATATTTCTAATTATGTATATGGATATGATGCCTAAGCACATAGTAGATCCTGGATACCAAGAGATTCCCCACAGAGTGGAAGCTCAGTGGAGTCAGGATTTTTATCTCATTCATCGCTTTATCTTTAGTACCTAGAACATTGCCTTGCAAGCACATTTCAGAGTCTTGGTAAATATTTGAATAGGATATTTGTGGTTATTAAAGGTTTCTAACTATGGGAATTTCAAAGTTTGGGGACTACACATTTCTTATAAGCAATATATAGATTTTAACACTGTTTGAATAAAACGAATGAAATATATATCTAACATTTAGTTAGATGTAAC